CGGGTAGCCCCTTTGGACAACGCCGGAAGGTAAGGCGCAAGGCCCTCTTCAGCCTTCTTTCAGGAATCGTGGGAATGGGTGGATGGAGGTTCGAGTAAGAAAGATGAAAAGGGACGGAATGAAGACAGAAAAGAATGAAAGACTATCTATGGAATATTACTGCCCCAGCATTTGCCTGAGCTATCCAAGGAAACCACAGAAAACCATGGAACAATGCAGACAGACCTGGAATCGAACCGGCGTCCTCCCGAATGCTAACCAATGGTCTAAATCTCTAGGCCATGCTGCTGGGTAGTCCGTTGATATTTTATAGCAACCGCACAGTAGGAGAACTATTGAACATTAGATAAGTGGTTGTAAAGGTCGTCAGGGCCGGATTAAAGTATAAATCGAATTATGTATTTCAGACAGATATTGAAATTCAAATTTTAACAACAGTGGAGAAATATTGAAATAATGAATTCAGCTTTACAGTTAACAATTTTTCTTAGTATTCAAAATCATCTTTTACTAAATATTTACTTCCAGACCAAATAATATATTTTCGTTACCTAATAAGAAAAATAAATATTTATTATTGTTTGACAAACAATATTTACCACTGCAATTACTTCCACCCCTTCTTAAAAGCGACAATAACTTTATATTGGACTAATTATTGTAAATGCCAATTAGCGTAATTACCGACGAATATTAATACATTCAAAACTGGTTTGCCCATTAGGGCAGTTACCCGATATGGCTAATACAAATTAATATAAGAAATATATAATTAAGTGAACCATTTCTTAAACAATAATAAATATTATTCGATGCGAAATTATAAGAACGTTCTACTGATATAAGGGTTTAAAAATAAAACAGGTGTTAGAGATGAATATTCAAAACCCTATATCAGTAGAAAGGGCTTTTAATTTCGCATCGAAAAAGAAATCGAACACCGTGTATAACTGAAAGTATTTTCTGCATCTAGTCCTAAGGCTAGATGGACACGTATATCCACTCATTCATATCTTGAGCCAATCTTTGCATTACCCTAAAACTAGTACAACTCATATCCTTAACTATTTGCGAACAGTAATCTAATCTTCTTCACTCTTGTTTCTGCCTCTAATATATCTCTGACTAGAGAAGGTGTCCTACCAACCTATCTCGCCAATTTCTTATTGACTTCCATACAGTCATCTGCTCTCCTATTCTTTCTACCTTATACCTTTTAATTTCTAACTTTCACTATCCACGGTATTCTCATCAGGTATAAAAAAAGACGTTTTCCTGCATGAGGATAGTTATATAACACTACGTGTAAATCTCTCTTGTAACTCATCATCATAAGGTCATCAGTCCTAAGACTGGTTAGACACGCATCTCCACTCTTTCTTATCCCTAGCTAATCTTCTAATCTAGGTCTACCTCTACCCCTGCTAACTTCCGTTTCTGCTTCTAATATATCTCTGGCTAGACTTTCATGCCTGAGAACATGTCCTATTAATCTATCTCACCTATTTCTTATTGACTTCCATAGAGTTCTCTGTTCTCCTATTCTTTCTAATACCTCTTCATTTCTAACCTTCTCTATCCACGGTATCCTCATCAGGTATAAAAAAAAAACGTTTTCCTGCATGAGAATATTTATAAAACCTTACGTGTAAATCTCTCTTGTGACTCATCATCATAAGGTCGTCAGTCCTATGACTGGTTGGACACGCACCTCCACTCTTTCCTACCCCGAGCTAATCTTCGCATTTCTCTAAAACTAGAACAACCCACATCCTTAACTATTTGTGAACAGTAATCTAATCTAGGTCTACCTCTACCCCTCCTAACTCCCGGTTCTGCCTCTAATATGTCTCTGACTAGACCTTCATGCCTGAGAAGGTGTCCTACCAACCTATCTCGCCTATTTCTTATTGAATTCCATTCCAAGTCCTCTGTTGTCCTATTCTTTCTAATACCTCTTCATTTTTAACCTTCTCTATCCACGGTATCCTCCTCAAAGAGGTATGGACGAAACGTCCTTAGGTGGCACATCCTGTATAGTCCTAGTCTCGTCGATTGTTACTTTCGTCATCCTCAGTTTAATTGGATAATGGTTCATTAATTCAATCCGAAAAGTATGTTTTTTGTGAGCATTTTCTTCTACACAAAATTAAATCTAAATAACAGTACGTATTGTTTCTATTTCTACTCAATTCGTCAGCCCGTTTATTATTGTTATTAAATAAATACTTTATTTTATGCGAAACCTATTAATTTATCGATGATCTAACGGGTTGAGTCAATACTTAATATCGGTTAGTTATGTCACTAAGTATATAGGTAATGAAATCGTTTTCCATTTGATCGTAAGCGTGTAGGTAGGTACATACAAATGGGTCGTAACCAATATGAAAAATCCGCTATTTGCTAATGTGGCCAGACAATTAAGAAAAAAATTCAAACTTTTACTGAAATACAATTGCGAATTGTATGCTACGACACACTTCAAACGAATAGGTTGAGGACTGCTTTAGATTATTGTGACGAAAAAGGAATGTTTGAACAAAACAGAATTCATTTGGCATAAAGAATAAAAGACGACCCTTTCTTCTTTAGTTATTTTAAACTTCACAAAATAATTTATTGAAAAATCTGATGTTTTCACGAACTTTTACAATTCATTTGACTGCATCAGTTATTACGTTAGAAGCGATAAATCGTACTATTTATTGTAGATAACAAGAAACAATAAAATTAAGAATTATGCCCCACTTTAGATTAGAGTTGAATACATAACTTAAAGATTTGTTAAACTTGATTTTTCCCGTTTTGTAAAAAAAAAACACGGAATTGTGTACTTATCTACTGTTACATGCAAATGATAAAAGATATTGCACTAGGTAGTAGATTTCCACTAAGTGAAATTGCAAATTATTTAACCGCTTTTACTTATCAAATTGTTAAATAATATTTGAAGCTAAAAATAGTATTGTTATTGTTACTGATTGCAATAATTTTTAAAGAATTTCAAATAATATAATCAGTACATCCTACACGGTTTAAAAAGCTAGAACGCGTTTTTAATAATAGAAAGTTTATGTTGTAATTTTTTTTGTTAACGCTACAATAATAATTTCATGACAATGACTTCCTCAGATAGAAGAAATGATAAATTATATATGTATTAAATATATGAAATCCTATGACATTGTTAGTAACTTAATAGTGGATTATCCGTCGATTTTTATTAAGTTAATAATCGTTAACCTTGTAGGTCGGTTGGTAGTGGTTGCTGTTGTCACCTCTCGTAGTTTAGTGGTAGAACATTGGTGCGTAAAGCCAAAGGTCCCGGGTTCGATTCCCGGCGGGGGCGTGACAACAGCGACAATTTTTCCCTCATTAATTTGAGGTAGTTTATAGTGGGTAAATTAAAAATCGAAAAAATGATTTCAAATTAATACTGCAAAACTTTGTTGCGTGTTTTTGTAATTACAAGAATTTAAAACCATTTCGATTTTTGGACGTATGTAGTTAGTTTTTCCAGTGGCGATCAAATAATTAAACAACTTTATGTTTTTTAACGTTTCGGTCTATTCAACCATCTTCAGACTTTTGAAGTGACCTAGAAAATTTTTGGGTCGTGTTGCAAGATCTCCCCGAGCATGACAAAATTAACGAGGGTATGAAAATTTATGAACAACCGCGGCTATTTTCTGTAGGGTGGCCAGATGCCCCGTATTTTACGGGTTACCCCGTTTTCCCGCAATAAAAATTTGAAAACCCGCAATTAGCAAAATTAAATACGGAGTAAAAAAAGCTCCCGTATTTTTTAATTGATTAATAAATATGTCCAGCCGGTGAAATTGCAAGCCCATGTTAGGGCTTGGACAAAATTAATTAAAGCAGCAGCATGAAAAATTTTATTCGTATTTTACAACTAGTTTTTCCATTCCAGTTGAAAGGATATTTTCCTTGTGCGCCAATGCATGGACGGATAGCCGAAAGACTTGATACCGTCAAAGCGAAACTTTAAATGAAATGCAATTTGAAATTATCGTGTAAATATTTTTGGATAAAAGTGCACTTTACGTCACCCTTCTTGTAGTTGGCTTCAAATATTGTACTACCATCAACATAACCTACATCGCTAAAGCGCGCATAGTATACTTCATTTACTTTTTCTAGCGATGTGCCCTTTCCAATGTCTTAGATACGCGCCAGCAAAATCGTAGGTAGGGATACAAAAGCTCATTATACTCTCGACTCTTACATACTTTTTCATACAGTACCTGCCAAAAGTTTTGTTCAATCATGAATAGTAGTGCGAGTCGAAAACAAGCGTTAAAGCCTTTAATATGTCTTCAAATATAAATAAACATCTCGTTGATATTTTCAGTAGTAAATGGTTCCAATAACAGTACATTTGAGCAATGCAATTGTAGTGGATAAATTGGTCAATTTTTCCGTGCAGTATTGTACGGGTTATACGTTCCTCATCGGTTAAGAGTTTGGCCGAGAGTTGTCTCCTTTCTTTTCTGGCCTAGTGCTCTTCTTTTGTACTTTGCGCCGGTCAAATTGAAGGTCACATCGCTACAGAAACTAAACGAAGTATAGCAACCATCTAGAGGCTACAATAGGACAGGGAACTGAAATGCAAATATGAAACGTAATCGCCCATCACCCGAAAAGATCGCGCACTAACTCACTGACACAATTTGATGACGCTCTTACGACCACGCAGTACGTTAAACAATTCATACAGTTATTACTCCTATCTCTTCTTGGATTTGACCATGGATACTATGCGACAATCACTTGTTTCTTGTTGTCGTTTCCTACCGTAACCTTAACGATCCGTCAAAAAGCAAAGTTGGCAGCAGTGCGCAAGTGTCATTTTGAGGAGCCAACTTTAGAGATGGTGTCGTAAACTGCTCATTGCCTGCTTTTTTAATTGTAATTTTTTCTATTTTTACTAAGTAATTTAATAGAATATGCCTACTTAAAAAGTGTTTTTTTTTCAGGTGAATTTTTTGATTAGTCAGTTCGTAGCCCTCGCATTGGCATCCCTTTTTCGCACAGTATTACATCCCTCCAAAACAAATTCTGCTACAAGACATGGTTTCGGTCTTATTGTCGGACTCATCATCGGCTATTTTTGCTTCGGAACGTAAGTCTCTAATGTTTATTCTTATTATTATTATTACTCATATGTTGTATGCATGCACGTTCGAGGATTGACGTAAAATGAACATTAAATATTATATCCAAGTGTAGGCAGTATATTGTCATTTCGTGTTCGTTTTGCTGCTCATGAAGTATTTGATGCGTTAGGCAAGACGTTGTTAAGATATCAACATGCTCAACTGATCAACGACGCAATAAATGGGGCCTTCTCTAACGCATGATATACAGTAAAAGCTCTTTATTCGCGGGGTATACGTTCCATAAATATGCCGCGAATACAGAAACCGCGGATATGGAATGGTAATTGGTATGGAATCGTAGGGGATACGTTCCAAGATTCCAAAATACTACCAATATGTATCAAAATAAAATCAATGTATCGATAAATTCGCAATTAAAATTAATCGTTATAATCAGCTTTAAACAAGGGTTTAAAAAATTTAGTGATTTTTTTCTTGTATTGAATTTTGAAATTAGTCCACTCGGTTACATCTTTTATAAAAGTCGCCTCGGCAAGAGCCAACAGTACTCAAAACATGCCGATACTCTAAGGGGATTCAGATTATCGGTTCTGGATATCATGAGTTTAATGTTTCGAATAGAGGTTTGAAATTTTGTAGTAAGATAGATAAAGCTTTATTCTAAAGTCTGTAGAAGGCCATTTTTTAGTTTAGTTACTCGAGGAGGCGTTTTAGGCGCATCCGACACTACCCTCTTCAGATTTTTGAGGATTTCCCCTCTACGAGCAAAACTAAACAAGAAAAAAAATCAATTTTATTTAGCGAGACTGCCTATGGGGCGTTGGTGAGATCGAGATCGCGATCCACGTCTGCCAGTTTCGCCATACTTTTGATGAAGATGTTTAAATAAACGTTCTCATAAAATGGTCTATCACGTAAACAACTGACCAAATCGATGAAACTTCTAAAGAGCGAGTTTATGTAATATCCGCATGTTGGCTGTATATCGCCATCTAGTGGGGTTTTGCTGCTAATGAAGTGTCTTGCGTTAGGTAAGGCTCTGTATGATGCGTCGTCGATTCAGTTGGGCAAGCTGATACCTTAATCTAACGTATGAAATATTTCATTAGCTGCAAAACTATATGGCTATACGATATTATACAAACTCGCTCTTTAGGAGTTTCATCGGTTATTTATTAAGATTGCCTATAGAGTGCTGATGAAATGTAATGAAAAATCGCGATCCTTGTCTGGTAGTTTCAAGTTTCGATAAGTTTCTGACCAAGAACTTAAAATAAATGTTCTTATTAAATATTAACTGTAGCAATTAATAAACAAAAATACCAAAGTTCGTAATAGTAGGAAGGTAAATATGATTCAGAAATAAAAATAATGAATAATAAATCAAACAAAAACGTATAGGTTTATTCATCACTAACCGCCCTTATTATTAGAGAATGCCATCAATAATTCAAAAAGAACGCAATGGCATTGTAAGTGTTTAAATAATTCATTACATTCTTTCTTGTTCTATGCTAACAAGAAATGTAGGGGTGGTTTGTTTATTTTTACATGCGATATGATAAATTGGATACGGTGAACATGTTGTTTAGAAAATAAAGGGTTGGGCGGGAAATTATTAAATTAAGTGACTATTTTTGTAACGTAAAAGAAAAAATATGTACCGGTATTCACACATGAAGAAAGTGAAATTTGATATACTCGGCTGGCTGCTATTGAGTAGATACAGTTGGTTTAACTCGCTTATAAAGTAGTGAAGGGATCGCAAGAAACGTTTTATCAGAAATTTGTTAAAAAATGTTGTTATTAACATAGCCTAACAACGTAAGCTTAATACGAGTCGGTTTTTGACAATTTATAAGAAAATTTGCCTGTAAATATATTCTTATTTCTATCAAACGAATTTTCTATCATTTCTATTTATCTAGATGATTCTCAATATGCATAAGTAAACTGATGCTTTCCTGACTAGGAGTTACTTCCTAACGTTTCGCTAACACGAGTGGCAGAACTTCTGCAGAGGTTGTTCCATCTTCGATACTCGATGTGGACTGGCTAGGTTCGATTCGGTTTAGTCAACCGTGGCATGCCAGTCGGTATCGGTCGAGTTTTCCTGAGGATCGGGAGATCTCGTTGAGTCTGAGAGAGTCTCTTTCTTCTTGTTGAAGTTCTCCGGATGTTTGTGGATCTCAGTAGCTTCACTGACCATCCTGCTGCGATAGCCGCTGACCAAAAAGCAATTTGCAATTCTCAGAAAGTATTTTATGGTCTCTATTGCTCAGTGCGTGTTCAGCCATTTCAGAGTGGCTAAGCCGGCAGTTTGCTTTGTGCTCCTTGAGTCTCTTCCCCATCTATCTCTTTGTGATTCCTATGTGTATTTTCCCGCAGGATCAGGATCCTCGTGGCTTAAACAGTATCCCTTTTGTCCTTAGGTGATCTGATGGTAGGCTGGAACTTCTTCGTAGGTTTGAAGATAGTTCTGATGTCGTGTCTCCTTAGAATTCTACTAATTTGGTCCTTAACCTTTGAAACATATGGTGGATATGCCAGAGAGGTAGTGCGCCGTTCGTTGATCTCTGGTGCCTTTAATCCTGTGTCCTCATATTACGATGTCATCAACGTATCGGAACCAAGCAGTTGAATTAACTCTGAGGTAGTGTTGCCCAAATTCAGTCTTGGTCTTGCAGTCTTGGTCTTGTTCTTGCGTTTTTGCAAGACCAAGACCAAGAACAAGACCGCGTATTTTTAGCAAGACCAAGACCAAGACTGACCGTGCAAGACTTGAGCAAGAACAAGACATAGCCTGCAAGACTCTTGCGTCTTGCAGCTAGGACTTAGCGCTATTTCACTGAGTAGTTAGGTGTAACAGTTCGGTGTATAGGTAGGTACGCTTAGGAATTCTATGAGACGCAAAAAACTGTATCAAAGAATATGAAAAACTGGACCTATGCGCATTACGACTAATACCATAAACATAGCGAATAAAAAAATTATTAAAATCAAACTGAGTGCATGCATAGTTATGTTTTAACCATCGGCACTTTGATAATGCGTCATCAAAGGTTTTGTACTTACTTCTCAAAGAAATTTGCCGCTTTTCGGAAGTACATGGTTATGATACACGCGCCGGCGGCTTCTTTTGAAATCTAAAACAATCGTTGCCGCCACGCCGAAATCATAACATTTGACACTATTTGATTGCCGCCATAGGGTGTAGGTATACTCATGCAAAATAATTTCGAATTTTTTTACACGCTTTATATTATTGTTTGATTTGCGGCGGCATCCTTATCATAGAGCCGGCACGTGGCGAGGCGGCGCGGTAGAAAGCAAGGATCATAAATGTTTATTAAGAAACAGTTACTTCCATGGAAAACGACATATAGGTCAGTTGATTTTTCGAATTTCTTATCAAATCTTCAGTTATTTATTAATCTGCTTGATCTTTACTATGGCTATATTCATTCAAGCTCACAATGTTCCAATTCTAATACGTTTTTCTAGGATTTAAAGTAAACTTTAATAAATAGTAATAGACTAATAGGTAATTGCAAGACTTGCAAGACTCTTGCTGCAAGACCAAGACCAAGACCAAGACTGGGAGCGCAAGACCAAGACCAAGACCAAGACCAGGTGTATTGGCGCAAGACCAAGACCAAGACTGGCTAAGTCTCGTCTTGTTCTTGCGTTTGGGCAACACTACTCTGAGGTCTCAATAGTCTTCTTCTCAAGGCGTTCCATGAAGAGATTAGCTATGACCGGACTGGACTTCCCATTGCCTGCTCGTAGAAGTCCCCCCCCCTTCACACGAAATACTTCACTATTTCATCTTGTTCCGTGCACTATTTGTTTGTGTCAATGTTCTTTTATCGACTAGGTATATCTTGTTGGATGTTGGTTACTTATTTCTACAGTTATGGAATATTCCCGAATATTTTCGGAAACTTTTCGTAAGGTTTTTTTGTATAATAACACTTAACGCTCCCTTTAAATTTCCTCAGTATGTTGTCATTTATCAGTTAGTCTTAGTATCTATGTTCGCTGATAGTGTAATTGTAGATAGTACATAATTAATACAACCAGATGGCAGAAGGAATAACCTAATCGCTCGGTAGCTGTAAATTTGGGATGGTGTCGATGTATTATCAAAATGTTGTCATAAGTTACAAAAAATATTAAAAGACCCATAGCAATGATAAACAAATTACGTAAGGGGTTAATCTGTTGTTAAAAAATACAAAATTCGTTAACGTGGACATTTCAAAAACCTCAAACCTGTTGGTTTTGGGGTTCCGCACCTCATATAAGTTTTGGCCGGTTTTGCTTTTTCGGTTGACATTATGGCGTTTCTACTGTATTTTTTTGAAAGCAAATTTGTCGAATGTCGGCCACACGCGATTTCTAGTTGAAATAATTATATTCTTACAATAGACTGTGTACATTTACACTAATTGGTATAATTAGATTTGTTGAATGCGTGTCACAATTATTTTTTTAATGTTATTGTAACATAGCTAATTATAGACAGTTGACAACCCTAATTAAATTAGAATACAGGCAAATGAATTAGTTGTTTTAGGTACTTTGAAGGGTAAATTACTTTGAAATTACCGGCTGACAATACTCTGTTATGTATGTCCATTATATGCCCTTCTACATTCTAATTACTTATCAGAATTACACTAATTTTAAATGTACGTGTGCAGTCAAGCTTCCATAACTCGAATCTCCTAAATACAACCAGTTGTGCTTGATATATGACACACAATGACATTTTTAATTATTAATAGTGGTTAGTTAAAATGGAATATTAATGTGAAAATTCATTTTTAATTTTCTATCCACTATAAACTACCTCATGTTAATGAGGGAAATTTTTGTTGCTGTTTTGACACACACCCCCGCCGGGAATCGAACCCGGGACCTTTGGCTTTACGCACCAATGCTCTGACCACTAAGCTACGAGAGATGACAACAGTAATCACGGTAAACCGAGCCTATA